TACACCTCACTGATACGGAAAAACATAATTTTGCTATCTTGTCCGTATGTCTGTGTGTCTGTCTGTCTGTCTGTCTGTCCGTGTGTAAACATGATAACTTGAGTACCGTTACAGCTAGGTTGATGAAATTTCTTATATAAGTATTTTATCAAAAACGTTGATCCGTATCAACTTTTGAGCGATTTCCGATAACCGGAAGTGGTACTTTTCCTACTTTGAATTTTTCAATAGCCTATAACTTGAATACTATTTCAGATAGATAAATGAAATTTCACATGTAAAAAAAAGATCTAATTCTCTACCTTCTGTTAAATTTTGAGTAATTTCCGTTGATTAGAAGTAGTACTTTACGCTACTTCCGATTTCTCAAAAAACTAATGTAAATTTTAAAAGTACTAATAATATTGCGCACTATTATGCGCTTTTTTATTTGGCGTTCACTTGGTGTGCAATTAATTTGTCTACGAGATTTTATTCTATTTTTAAAACTTTAAGTATTTAAAATGGATTAAAAAACATGTCTATAGCCCGAGTTCCCATCCCCTGTTATTTTATATAAGAATATTCGAGAAAGTTTAGGGGAGATCATTCCCGGTTTATTAAAAATTATTCTTACTAAAAAAAAAAAGTTCATTACTTGTAGTGTAACTTAACTTCCAAAAGTGATTTCTGAGTTTTAATTTTTCTTTTCTTCAAATGAATAATTAGAAAATAACCAACATTTTTAAAAAAATGGTGAATTATTTTACGGCTAATGTGATTTAAATTTAAAAATGTAACTACTAAAAACTAACATAAACATTTGTGTATCTTGTTTTTACAAAGTAACATCTTAAATTGTTTTAAAGTCTCGATTTACATTTATAACAAGCTACTAGCTAGTATTTAAAATGTGCTTGATAGTTTGAATGAATAAATTTGCTAATTTCAATAGATTTCGAATGTTTGCAGATGTAATTAACTAACACAAATCTATATATAAATAAACACATTTTATTTATAATGAAATGTTTTCTTAAATGTTTTAATTATTGTAAATCGACACTTTTGTTTATATTAAAATATCATTTTATAAAACTTATTTTTCCTTGTTACTTTTTTCCATTACCTCTTTTATCAGTCGTGAGTTTTCTTTTGTTAAGAAATACTTTACGCCTCATTTCATAATGTCACGTTATAATTTTCTTACATAACTACATAATTTTCAACTCCTTGAATTACTATTATAGAGTAAATGTATCATCGCGATACATGTAATTGAAAAAAAAATAAAGCATTGCAATCATACCTCACAATGTTTCTACGCCAATTGAGTTTTAGTTGAAATGCTACAATAAAATCGATATGTAAAAGAGTTGACATATTCCTTGGCACCTAATTTATTGCCATTTGTTTTGTCATACAAAGTGCCAAGCCTGTAAGGTGGCATCAGGGCGTAGATTGTGTCATTAAACACAAACAATGTCAGGGCTTGGGGGCTTCGGTATCTTTCTTCTAGCTGAGCCTCCATGATAATGGACTTTAACTGTTCACATTTATCAGGGGTTTCCAAACTAAGGCACGCGGGTCGGATGCGGCCAGTGATGTCCTCTTATCAGGCCCTCGGAGATCTTTTTGTCCACGGAAAAAAAATGTTCGTTGGAGATGGCTGAGAAAAAATTAAAAACAACCGGAAAATGTAGCATTGGGTGCAAATACCATTGAAATAAATGTGGCCAGTTGCCCAGCAAATGACCTCCTTCAAGACAAGTTCAAATAAGGGCGGGTGGGTTTTATAAGTATTTGCCCAACGAAGACTTTCCTAATATTAAAACTTTTGCACCAAAGTACCTTTCAAATTTTGGAACAACATACACACTTTATCAAGAATGAAGTAGGCATACGTAAAGAACAATTTGAGAACAAACTTGGACCTCGAGTGTGTTGTCGGTCCCCGACAATGTTTCTTCCAGATCTTTTTCTCGGGGGGGGGGGCACTTGAAATTTGTATATATATATATATATATATATATATATATATATATATATATATATATATATATATATATATATATATATATATATATATATACTGGATTAGAGTTTTCACAGATGGCTCAGCTGAAGATGCCACAAAAATTGGCGGGGCTGGCATCCTTATTGAATGGCCAAGCGGAGAAAGCCTAGAAAAGGCAATAGCCACAGGCAGCCTATCCGACAATTTTAGGGCAGAAAAAGAAGCTTTAGAACACGCAGCAATCCTCCTGTCAGAACACCCTGAATCACCGAATAGTCAGATTGTATTTCTTACAGATGCCAAATCAGTCCTGCATTCCCTACAAAATCCAGAGTCCTATATTCAAACACTTATGACAGCACTAGAGAGGCTAAAAAATACCTGCAGCAGAATTGTGCTGCAGTGGATCCCGGGCCACTGCCAGATCCAGGGTAACGAGATCGCAGACCAGCTGGCAAAAATTGGGGGAAAGAAACCACAACCGGAAATTTCGCTACACCCAAAAGAAATAAACAGAATAATAAAAAACAAACAAACGCAAATGTGGTCTGTCACACACCCTCACTACATTAAAGACGACGGCTATTACAATTTAACACGAAAACAACAATACATAATCTTTCGACTTAGAACAGGCCACACCAGACTAAATCAACACATGCACAAAAAACTGAAGGTTCGGTGTAGCGAAATGTGCCCTTGTGGCAAGGCCCCGGAAAACACGGAGCACGTACTCCAGGAATGTTCTCTGTATAGCCAGGCAAGAGTCAGACACTGGCCCCAGCCCACCCCACTCAGGGAAAAATTATATGGGACACCTGACAAACTGGAGACCACAGTCCGGTTTGTCCACGAAGTTGGACTTGTTGTCTGAATCCTCCACCATATTCAAAAATTAAGAACGAAGAAGAAGAAGATATATATATATATATATATATATATATATATATATATATATATATATATATATATATATATATATATATATATATATATATATATATATATATATATAAATTCGGTTGGGGGTGGAATTCTTCGGGGGGGGGGGAGGGGTGCTCCACCACTCCAAAAAGGTGCCTGTAAGAAAATGGCCCCCGAACTTATATTTGATAGTTGATTCGGCCCTTGGACTAAAAGGTTTGGAGACCCATGACATATATCATGGTATTTTTAATTTAAGGAAAAAATAACGACAAAATGAATTTAAGAGTGCTCACCAAGTTAAAAAGTAAAGCCTTTTTTTTGTATTATTAAACTAAGCTGGATATCGAGATTCTTCGCATAATATAATATTTTATTCACAACTTTAATTTAAATTTATTTCTCATTCTCCATGACAGAGGCAGCACGCGACGCCTTTTGGTCCTATATCGTGAAATTTAAAATCAGATTGTTTAAATTTTTATCGGCAATGTCAAAAGACGCATTTTCCACGCCGTACTGTTTAGCACTAGTGCTAATCAAATCTGTTCAGTAAAGCCATGATCCTTGTCTGATGCACATATTTATCTACACAGAAAGACCTAGGCCTATATTGTATTTTACAAGTGGAAAGTATATTATGTGTAGTTTATATAGTCAAAAAAAACTATTTAGATCTAGTAATGATGTTATTCATTTTAATTAACATTAACTAGTCCCTCATTTATAAATATAAAACTTTTAACCAATTACTTCATAATCTAGAATTGATAAATAGCTAATAGATCTAGCTTAGATTTAGATTTACTCATTATTGGTATTTTGAAAAATGATAACCAGTGTTAGCTCCAGATCTAGTTTATTTCTTATGAACCTATACACAAATCATACATATCATATCACACATATCAAATGTAACAAAACCACACTCTAAATCCAGATCTATCAATGATCAACCTACACGACATTTAGGTATACACTTCCTGAAGTTTGACTCTCAGATCAACTAATCGCCATCATTACTATCAAAAGGTCTTTTAAAAAATCACCTAAATATAGCACATCGTATACATAAAAACTATATGTACCGATTATGAGACTGGACCTAGCCACTAGCTCTATCTGTTGCAGTGTTTCTTCCAGGCATCTCTTCGGGGGGATGGGGGGGGGGGGGCAGATCCCCCTCGAAGAAAGTGTACCTCTCCGAACGAAAAGAAATGTATATAGAAAACATACTGTTACCAGTTTCCGCCGGAAAAGTAATTCCCTCCCCCCTCCTCCCGAAAATATCAGGTGCCCTTCCCCTCGGAGAAAAAAATCTGGAAGAAACACTGATCTGTACTTGGACTGGAAGGAACCGCATGAACTGGTTAAGACTTTATGAGTGTATGAGAGAGACAGAGAGAGATATAGAGAGAGACTGAGGGAGAATATCAACACTATTGACATGCTAAGGACATAAATCCACTTTCTTTCAGACATTTTCAGACTGGCGTAGGGGGGGGGGTGGAGGTTGTAGTTAACTTTTGGGTGTAGGGGAAAAGCTTTTGGAAGGAGGCTTGTAAATCTTTTGAAGAGAGATCACGGGCGTTTAAAGTATCCATTTTATGTACATTTTTTTTTTCGTCTTAGGAGAGTGGGGAAAGGTGGTGGACGTACTCCGCATAGAGGGGGGGGGGGGGGGGGGGGGAAGTGGTTTAAGGGTGTTGCGGGGTGGGGGGGTTGTCCAGGGCGTTTATGTCGGGGGGGGGGGGGGTTGCCGGGCGCCGGGTTTAAAGGCCCCTCCTCCGAAAGAGACGACAGAAAGAAACTCTACAAAGACGGTCTATCTAGAATCCAACCCCTGAATTTGACATTAGCAAGCGACTTTCTTTAGATTTCCCATTGATACAGAACCTATGACAGAGCACGATCCAATGATCTGGAACTGAACACCCGTGATAAATAAGGGACAACTGTACTAGTTCTCTTTCTTTCTTTACAGACATCACTAGTAAATAAACAGCGCAAGATCTAGCAATCAAATAATTATAAAAAAAATACAACAATTAGTTTCCTAATTCCATTATACAGGTGTTGAAGTTACAGATTATACGATGTTTTACGTCACCGTGTTTAGAATTATCCTAATGGTTTTGGTGCTGTTTGAATGTTGGCAGCAATCAAGTAATATTTTTTTTTTTTAATTTAACATTTTTTTTATGGAAAATAGTGCAGAATGTAGTATCACTATCTGTAAATGTATATAACTGCACAAAAGGCTCCTGAGTCCACCCAGCTCTGATGGGTACCCAACTCACATTGGGGAGAGAAAACTCGGACAGGCATAGTACTGGCTACACTATTCCTTCATATGACGGGGTCTCTAAAACAGACGAACTCTACTTCATCTCCCCATGTTTCTTGGGCACGAACGGGAAAACAAAACATTATACTGTACACAATGATAATTCTACCCTATCAATTTCTATCAAATATATATATATATATATATATATATATATATATATATATATATATATATATATATATATACATATATATATATAATTCTCTTCATAGAGACGATAGAAAACACCACACAGCTTAGACACCAATATCATCCCCCCGTGTCAGGTGAGCTGTGGATCACCCCGAATGTTTACAATAGTAGAGTCGGTTCGATTAAGTGACGGCTATTAGGGGCAGATAATTTAGCTTTTAAACGATTTGAAGCTAAGGGGAGATAAAAAGTTCTGCTTGATATTTTCATTGTCGTCTGTAAACGGCTGCTTTCACTGGGCGGGGTGGGACTTGGGAGGAAGGGGGGGGGGTAGTGTTGAATTCATAAATTATGAATTGTTGATAAGTAGAAAATAAAACAACTCGATAACGGCCCGTATATGATATATCTTCAATTCCTGAGTTAAAAACAAGAAGTTCAGCTAACCATCTTCACCCCCCTCCGCACTCCTTCCTCCAATTTACCAAGCTCTGATTTTCAATCAGACTCTGCTTTCCCATTAAGCTGACTTTCTGATCTAAGACTGTGCTAAGGAACTACCCGCGTTCATCAATCCCTAGTTGTATACGCCGTGTGATATACAACTAATCAATTACCACTCTCCCCAGAACTAACCCCCCCCCCCCTCCAACCTCTGGAGAATGATTATCATACATGCAATAGGTTGATTTAAAAAAAAAACCTGCCGAGACTCCCCATGGATTGACTTAATAGGGGAGACAACTCGTAGAGAGTTACTCCGTCTGTATAATTACCGACAAAGATCTATTTATTATCATCATGGAGGGACCATGCGGGACGCCCCCTCCATCGCTCTCTTTGTATATCGCTTACTCCCCCCCCCCCCCACACACACACAGTATTGTGAGCTATGGTTCAATCGTAGAGCCGGGTCGAATTAGTGACGGTTATTAGGGGCAGTGAATTTAGTTAGTAAACGATTTGAAACTAAGGGGAGGTAATACCAAGTTCTGCTTGATCTTATCATTGTCGTCTGTAAACTGTCGTCACTGACGGCTGCTTTCACGGAGGGAGGGGGGGGTAGAGGTAGAAAGTGTGGGTGAGGATAATCGTCCTTCACGACCGACTGATATTGTTTTAAACAAAAATATTTTCAGTCGCAGCATAAGTAGTGTCGAATTCATAAATAATGAATTACTGAAAAATTGAAAGTAAAACAACTAAATAGCGGCGTATGCTACCTGGCGGGTCAGCTGGTGTATAACAATTTTAGTTAATAAACAAACAATTTAGGCTCTTCAAGACATGATGACCAAGAACAGTTTAGAGCAGTTGAAAATGAACATAACTATCTGACCCAGCGCAGTTTGTGTTGCATCTGTCACGAGAGACCACTGAACTGTGTGTTCCTGCCTTGTGGGACATGTCATTGCATGTCAGGAATGTGCTGAACCTGCTACTAAATGTCCTATTAGCAACAAGAATGTCGCTGCTACTGCCAATGTCTACCTGTCTTAAGCTTAGCTTAACTTGAAAAAAAAAATTATGGGCATTTTAAAAAATGTACAAGTACAGAATTTGTTATTCGACTAAACATGCATATTGCCTAAAAAAAATTTATTAAAAAAAAAAAAAAATTTAGGCTCGACAGCAAACTGGAGATAAACAAAAAGTTGCAGACAACAATTTATGTCAATAGTAAACATTAAAAAAATTGTAAATTAATGGGTCGATAACTGAATTAACTTTTAAATAATGTGGCTGACAGTAATTCATATAAATAGTAGTAAAGTTTATAACATGAAAATAAATGGGGTCGGTACCTCAAAAAAAAATTGATTACTAACAATTTATAAATAGTATCTGAAACTTAAACACACTACGAGCGCGTATGGTTGTGACATTGCATACAAGTAAGTTTTTACTTTTCTTTTATATACATTGATCACACATTGCTTTTTTCCGCAGGTCCTGCTAACGCTCCCGCTTCTCACTACAATCCTTGTCCCCTTGAATATCTCATCTGCTGGCCCAGTTTAAGTAGCGGAGCTTTCGATATCTACATATACACTCCGTCGGAGAATACCATTCAGGTATGTGTTCCTCTTTTAAAAGTCGTGTTTCTGTTGTTGTTTTGAAAAGATAAATAAAGATGGCGTTAAATTGTACGCACTGGTCGATCGGTAAATTGCATTGCTGCCTTACAGAAAAAAGTTTCGAGTTCGAAATCCCGGGAAGATTAAGCTCCAAGACTGGGGATTGTAACACATCTTGAAAAAACAATAGGGCTGGTAAGTAGGTCATCAACCAGTTCTATGGCTCATGCAGGTTTTATTGAGCCGTAGAGCTGGTTGGTGACCTACTTACCAGCCCTATTCCAAAAATAAATCAACTGCTAGGTTGTATTTTGTTCTTGGTTAGAAAAAAAAGCTATGGAAGAAAATCCCATAAAAGGCTAAACCGAAGCGCTATAACGCGGATAACATGTTGATATGTAATACATTACCTGCGGGCATCACTCTCTAAGAAACCCCTTCTGACATAACATTTTAAAACGAAGAAGAAGAAGATGGATTTGATGTCAAACCATTTATCCCCACAGTTAAGACTGTCATGTTTGTTTGCTTACATTGTAAGATTGTGTAGTGGCTAAGATTTTTCAAGGCTATATGGTAAACATTATGAATGTCAACGGTAAAAAGTATAATTGTACCGTTTATAACTGAAAACAATAGTAAAATTCAAATTGAAAGTTTTAGGGGGGTGCAAATTGAAAGTTTAGAGGGGGGGGGGGGTGCAAGTCGAAATCTTGATGGGGGGGGTGCAAATCGAAAAGTTTGTCCCCTGGCGCCTCTGGTGCTCCTTGCCTGATACACGTGCGGGATAAAAGTGTTAAAGTAGGTAACTAATATGTTTACTCAACTGCCACATAGAACTACGACACGGGTAGAAATAGCTAAGTCAAATAGGTTTTCAACTTACACCAGCTACAGATGAAATATGGGTCGCTAACAGTCCAGTGTGATTGCCTTTACGACGGTCCACGCATAATTCGTCTTCCTCTTCTAAATGTTTTATCACTTTACTTTTTAATTTCTCGTATATACAAAGTATAGAGAAAGTATTGTGATCGTGCAAAAAAAAAAATCGACGTTTTACACCTCACTTATACGGACAAACATAATTTTGCAATCTTTTCCGTCTGTCTGTGTGTCTGTGTGTGTGTGTGTCTGTGTGTCTGTGTGTAAACACGATTACTTGAGTACCGCTACAGCTAGGTTGATGAAATTTCATGTATAAGTATTTTATCAAAATCGTAGATCCGTATCAACTTTTGAGCGATTTCCGATAACCGGAAGTGGTATTTTTTTCTACTTTGAATTTTTCAAAAGCCTATAACTTGAGTACTATTTCAGATAGATAAATGAAGTTTCACATGTAAGTAAAAGATCTAATTCTCTTCCTTCTGTCAAATTTTGAGTAATTCCCGTTGACCGGAAGTACTAATTTACGCTATTTCCGATTTCTCAAAAAACGCACTTAAATTTTTAAAGTACTAATAATATCCCGCACTATTATGCACATTTTGCTTTGGCGTTCACTTAGTGCGCAATTTTTTTCTATGAGATTCTATTCTATTTTTAAAAGTTTAAGTAATTAAAAATCATGTCTATATTCCAAGTTATATAAGAATATTCGAGAAAGTTTAGGGGAGATCACTCCCGGTTTATTACTGCCATGTTCTTGTTTATTAGATATAGATATACCAAACATTTTAAACTAACGTATATACTTTATTTTTTCAGCTCGAAATACAAGATTCCAGTCCAACTCATCTATCTATTAGTTTAACGAACAAGGAGCACAGAGTACACAAATACACAATGTGTGTACTTGTGATAAGTAGTGGTATTACATGTGTACCGTAATTGTTTGTTGTGATTGGTGGGTTTTTTTTTGTTAAACCTGAGATGTACACAATGCAGGGGCGGAACTACAGTGCCGCCAGACCCCGCAATGCGGGAGGATGGGGGGGGGGGGGCGCCATTTTGGGGCCCACAGAAGACCATAATCAATTTTATATAGTTTAAAAAAATTAATTTTCTTGCATTTTTGACTTGATGGAGGTTTTTTTTAAAGAATACTGCAGCTGCGGTTGGATTATCTTTATTCTATAGACGCCCTTTGTTTTTTAAACTATTGTGAAAGCCGAGTCCCTGTTTTTTCTGACACAATGACAGTTAAAAATTGAATGCGGTGATAATCTTAAAGCGGGTAATAGAGATATAGTTATTTATAAAAAGGTTTTTGATTTATATTTATTAGTTTGATTTTCAACCCAAAATGTACAGCCAATATAACGAAACTCTACTTTAACACTTTGGTAAATGGTGAAAAAAATATTGCGACTGAATAATTAAGCGAGCAATACATAATTTTTAAAAATACCTTTCCCAGTAAAATGAGCAATCAGAAAACTGCGCAACAAAAACTACGCAAACAGAATAATACCAAATTTAAAAAAAAAATAACTAATACACTTTTTAATTAAGTTATATTTCGTGGAGTTATGTTTTATTATACTACAATATACATGTAATTATTATTGATAAAGTGTATTAATGCTCAATTAAAAAAATGCCCATGCGCACTTTTCAATGTGCATATTCCTGTTGCGCAGTTTTCAGTTGCGCTTCTTTTAAAAAGTAAAGTTCACTTTTTAAACCTGACGGTCTATAGTAAAGTAGAGTTCACTTGTTTATGTAACCTCTGCACTATGCCCAACCGCCTTTACTTTCCCTAACGTGAGTACCCATGAGAATTGGGTGGACTCAGGGATGGTCTATAGAAACCATTTGAAATCGAGACCTCCGGTTAGCAGTCCAGCTCTCTACTGCTAGACTACTCCGTCCCACTGCGCATCTTTTGGGTCACCCAATAATACACATGTTGCTGCAACATGCGTAACAAATTGAATTGCTTTAGTTATTGACTGTTGTTGTTGTTGATCGTCTAAACAGGTAGAATTGCTTTAGTCATTGGGTGTTGTTGTTGATCGTCTAACTAGGCAGAATTGCTTTAGTCATTGACTGTTGTTGTTGCTTGTCTAACCAGGTAGAATTGCTTTAGTTATTGACTGTTGTTGTTGTTGCTTGTCTAACCAGGTAGAATTGCTTTAGTCATTGACTGTTGTTGTTGTTGCTCGTCTAACCAGGTAGAATTGCTTTAGTCATTGAGTGTTGTTGTTGATCGTCTAACGAGGCAGAATTGCTTTAGTCATTGGGTGTTGTTGTTTATCGTCTAACCAGGCAGAATTGCTTTAGTTATTGAGTGTTGTTGTTGATCGTCTAACTAGGCAGAATTGCTTTAGTTATTGTGTGTTGTTGTTGATCGTCTAACCAGGCAGAATTGCTTTAGTTATTGAGTGTTGTTGTTGATCGTCTAACTAGGCAGAATTGCTTTAGTTATTGTGTGTTGTTGTTGATCGTCTAACAAGGCGGAATTGCTTTAGTTATTGAGTGTTGTTGTTGATCGTCTAACTAGGCAGAATTGCTTTAGTTATTGAGTGTTGTTGTTGATCGTCTAACCAGGCGGAATTGCTTTAGTCATTGGGTGTTGTTGTTGATCGTCTAACCAGGCAGAATTGCTTTAGTTATTGACTGTTGTTGTTGTTGCTCGTCTAACCAGGCAGAATTGCTTTAGTCATTGACTGTTGTTGTTGTTGCTCGTCTAACCAGGAAGAATTGCTTTAGTTATTGACTGTTGTTGTTGTTGCTCGTCTAACCAGGAAGAATTGCTTTAGTTATTGACTGTTGTTGTTGTTGCTCGTCTAACCAGGTAGAATTGCTTTAGTCATTGAGTGTTGTTGTTGATCGTCTAACGAGGCAGAATTGCTTTTTTTATTGAGTGGTGTTGTTAATCGTCTAACCAGGCAGAATTGCTTTAGTCATTGGGTGTTGTTGTTGATCGTCTAACCAGGCAGAATTGCTTTAGTTATTGAGTGTTGTTGTTGATCGTCTAACCAGGAAGAATTGCTTTAGTTATTGAGTGTTGTTTTTTGATCGTCTAACCAGGCAGAATTGCTTTAGTTATTGAGTGCTGTTGTTGATCGTCTAACCAGGCAGAATTGTTTTAGTCATTGGGTGTTGTTGTTGTTCGTCTAACCAGGTAGAATTGCTTTAGTTGTTGAGTGTTGTTGTTGATCGTCTAACCAGGCAGAATTGTTTTAGTCATTGGGTGTTGTTGTTGATCGTCTAACCAGGTAGAATTGCTTTAGTCATTGAGTGTTGTTGTTGATTGTCTAACCAGGCAGAATTGTTTTAGTCATTGGGTGTTGTTGTTGTTCGTCTAACCAGGTAGAATTGCTTTAGTTATTGAGTGTTGTTGTTGATCGTCTAACCAGGCGGAATTGCTTTAGTTATTGAGTGTTGTTGTTGATCGTCTAACTAGGCAGAATTGCTTTAGTTATTGAGTGTTGTTTTTTGATCGTCTAACTAGGCAGAATTGCTTTAGTTATTGAGTGTTGTTGTTGATTGTCTAAACAGGCAGAATTGCTTTAGTTATTGAGTGTTGTTGTTGATCGTCTAACTAGGCAGAATTGCTTTAGTTATTGAGTGTTGTTGTTGATCGTCTAACCAGGCAGAATTGCTTTAGTTATTGAGTGTTGTTGTTGATCGTCTAACCAGGAAGAATTGCTTTAGTTATTGAGTGTTGTTTTTTGATCGTCTAACTAGGCAGAATTGCTTTAGTTATTGAGTGTTGTTGTTGATCGTCTAAACAGGTAGAATTGCTTTAGTTATTGAGTGTTGTTGTTGATCGTCTAACTAGGCAGAATTGCTTTAGTTGTTGAGTGTTGTTGTTGATCGTCTAACCAGGCAGAATTGTTTTAGTCATTGGGTGTTGTTGTTGATCGTCTAACCAGGTAGAATTGCTTTAGTCATTGAGTGTTGTTGTTGATTGTCTAACCAGGCAGAATTGTTTTAGTCATTGGGTGTTGTTGTTGTTCGTCTAACCAGGTAGAATTGCTTTAGTTATTGAGTGTTGTTGTTGATCGTCTAACCA